CTTCATGTCTTGTTTTGTTTTTTTTACCCAGGGCCCATGGTGTATGGAATATGTTTCTGTCCTGTTTCCAAAAAGGGAGAGCTGAAGGACTTGAAAGTGGCAGGTAAAAATATGTTTGCAATTCTACAATCCATTTAGCGGACACTTTTATCCAAAGCGACGCACATCAGAGAGTAAGTACAACACAAGCAAGGATCTAGAAAGGAGGAAACAACGTATTTAGTACTGACAGGCAAATCACACCATCGACAGCTGTTCTTGGAGAGTTTTAAGCAGCATGAAAACCATCCTAAATATCGTCATCGTAATTATCAAACAAATAATCTTCAGCATCAGTATCATAGGTAGGTGTTCATGAAAGAGTTGGGTCTTTAGCTTTTTCTAAAAGGTGCAATGGGACTCTGCAGATCTAATGGCGTTTGGTATTTCGTTCCACCACCAGGGGGGCGACAGAGGAGAAGACTTTAGCTAAAGACTTGGGGCCGTGTTGTGACGGTTGGATCAGATGCCTTTCATTGGCAGAGCGTAGTGTGCGAGTTTAGGTAAAGATGAGTTTTTGTGTCGCTGTTTTGTGAGCGAGCAGCAGAGTTTTACATTTCATGCGAGCAGTGTAAGGAGATGAACAGCGCAGTGACATGTGTTCTCTTTGGTAGTTTGAAGACCAGTCGTGCTGCTGCGTTTTTGATCATCTACAGGGGTTTGATAGTGCATGAAGGAAGACCTGCCAGTAAGGAGTTGTAATTGTCAATGTGTGATATCACAAGAGCCTGTACTGGGAGCTTTGGAGCATGCAAAAAAAAAAAAGGTTCAGGTTGATTTGTGACAATTTCAGAGTTTACCATTAAAGTTTATGTGATGCCACCCGCTGACAACAAACATCAGAGTCGCCTTCCGTAATTGTAAATGAACGAGTACATCCAACCTCTCACAGTTGAAGTCGTTTTGATGAACTCGTCTCCTCTGTCGTCAGATTCAAAGACTCTAACAGAGGAGGAAAGAGAGAATCTTTTTGAGAAAATAGACGAAGCCAACAGTTTTGTCGGCTGGGCTCTGCAGATTCTCTCACCAAACACCATCTCCACCAGTATGTTACAAAGGTTTGTGCCACATGCCGTATCATCCACATTAAATGCACATTCATAATCTGTCACTTTTGTATTTTAACTCCCAAGTGAAATGTCTGCTTTTTCAGGACAAAATACAACCTGAACGCCCTGTCACATGACACAGCGATCGGTTTAGTACAGTATGCATTGGACAGTGGAGTGCAGCTCAAAGAGGTGCGTCACTTAAATCTTTATAGTCTACGCCCACTATACATAAAATATACTTTAATGTTGTCTCTCATGACAGAATGAGATCCTTAACACTCTGGGTTTTTCTGCAGGTGTTTGTGGACACAGTTGGCCCAGCAGAGAAGTATGAAGATAAACTCTCCAAGCTGTTCCCAGGTATCGAGGTGACCGTGAGGCCAAAGGCTGACTCGCTCTTCCCCGTCGTCAGTGCAGCCAGTATCTGTGCCAAGGTTAGTTACAACAACCTGTCTCATTCTTATGTCACTGACCTTGTTGATTAGAAGTGTTTGTTCACCCCTTATAATTAGAAGACTGTACAGTTCCTTCGAGTCCCCCTGGTTGATCTAGGTTGAAGCAAAGATATCTAACAGGGTTAGTTATCCTTTAATTCATTGTGTGTTTCGAAAGTTACAGCTGGTCAGATCCACATCCGGTTTTCACTGGTGAATCTTGTGTAACTAATCTGAGAGGCACTGCACTCACCACAGAGTGTTAAGGGTTCGCACGATACCATATTTTTAAACTTTTGTGTTGGCACATTTTTCGGTACCAAGGCAGCTCAATTACAGCTCCTTGGCTTCCAGTGTTGGGTCATTTTCTTGTCTTGAATGACAAACTTCTGCACACTGTCAAAATTGCAATTACCGCAACTAGATTGCACAAACATGTTGGCAACATTTCAGCACCAAAAGGTTGCCAACATATTTGTGAGATCTAGACAATTCTGTGTCCCTTTCATCGTGGCAGCTGGAGACTGGAGAGGAGACCGGCATTTTATTTTTAGCCTCAGGACACTTCAATACGTTGATCCTTTTTAATAACTGAGACTGTGTTTTAAAACACCTGGTATTGGGGGCGCTGGTGGCACAGTGGTTAGTGCGCGCGCCCATGTATGGAGGCTGCAGTCCTCCAAGCAGGCAGCCCGGGTTCAAATCCAACCTGTGGCTCCTTTCCCGCATGTCATTCCACTCTCTCTCTCTCCCTGATTTCCTTCTCTATCCACTGTCCTGTCTCTACAATAAAGGCACAAAAAGCCCCAAAATAAATCTTTAAAAATAACAAAAACCTGGTATTGAAGTATCAGTTATTTTGACAACCATAGAGTAGGGTTGGGAAATACATCGAGTTTTTTAGATATATCAATATATTTTCAAACAAGATATAGGGTCAGACAATATCATTAATATGGATATAGTTTAAGTTGTATTAAAATAATGTTACAAAAGTGCCAGGTCACCTTTTTCTCATCTCACTGATGATGACTGACTGTCTGTCCCTCTTAACCCTGCTCCTCCTCTCTCTCTCTTTTATTGTATTTAAGGAACATTTTTATTTTTTAATATTACTTTTTAAAATTCACAAACAGGTAGTTTATTTTTCCATGTGTTTTCACTGTTAATAAAATACATATTGAGTATCGCCATTCAGCTAATCAATATCAAGATATGAGTTTTGGTCCATATCGCCCAGCCCTACCATAGAGTATAGTTTTTAAACAACAAATTCAGCTCAGTTCATTCTCATGTTGGATAACAGATAGTCTAGAAGTGTCTTTCTTAAACCTGTTGATTGCTTGACAGTCAGGAAATTGTTCTGAGTTTCTTTAGTCTGACTGTTTTGTTAAGGCAGTCAATGCAAGATGAGTGGATGACTGATCTTGTCTTCTGAGCTTGGTTTTTTTCCGTTGACCTTTATAGCGCTAATGTGACACTACTGAGCTCAGTGTCCACTGACTGAACTGGGATTAATATGGAAGAAGTCTTAATCAATCTTTCCTGTTGATATTTCAAATGTTCAGGTGGCGAGGGATCGTGCCGTAAAAGGCTGGAACTTCCAAGAGGACCTGGGAGAGGTGGATGCAGACTATGGATCAGGATATCCCGGCGGTATAACTATCATTTGTAAACATGATCATAAACCTCTCTTGCATTAAGATAAACTGAGACCGTTTTCCTTCCTGTCTTTCTTTTTTTTTAGACCCAAAGACTAAAGCATGGCTCCAAAAGTACCTGGACCCCGTGTTCGGTTACCCTCAGTTTGTTCGGTTCAGTTGGAGCACCGCTAAAATCCTGATGGACAACAAGGGCGTGGCCGTCCACTGGTAAAGAGCATTCAAACTTAATGTTTAAGAAAACATAGCTTGATTTAGGGAGTTAAAAACAAACACCACTGAAACCAGCATAAAAGGAAGAATGTGCGACATGTTTCACATAAATAAGCAGAAATCAAGTATATCCTGTGCAAATGTTTCTGAGTCACGACTGTCTACAATGAGTGAGAAGCCCCAGCTGTATTGTTGTCGGAGCTTTGTTTACATCATGTTTACATCATGTTTACATCATGTTTACATGGACGAGACGGCCTTGTGTATAAATCTGTTTAAGTCAAGGACTAGAGAAAAGAAGAAGAACATACTCACTGCTTCTGTGGATGTCATGTAAGTGTTTTTAGATCACGGTCATTCTGTGTCAATTTATGTTTAATATGAAGCTTTGAGTTAAACAAAGAGCGCTAACATTAGCATGCTAACACAACAATGAAGGCCACAGGTGATTGCAGCTCGAGCCGAGGACAATTTTTGTCCGTTGCTTGCCCTTAATGGAGCTCAATTACGGTGCGCTCCAATTCACAACTCCTTCACATGAACTCGAGTGGAGAGAGGTTGGTGGTGTGCTCCTGGAGGAGAGCGGAGGCTTCAGGATAGCGGAGGTGTCACCAAAAAGCAGTTTGTTTTGGTTTAATGCTGGAGCTCAAGGGCGACATCTACTGGGTCAAAAAGTTGCACATTCTTCCTTTAAAATGTGATTTACGATATAATGATGTCAGAAAGTGGCCGTTAGCCATTTATCAACAAGTATGGGTTTTTTTAAGAGCTTTAACGTAGTTTCCCAGCTTGTCTGTAAAAAAAAAATGTTTCAATGTGATTTTTTTTGCTGGATATCAGCTGTTACATGTACTAAACCACAACACCCCCCCCCCCTTTAACAGTTCATGCTTAATATCTGTACAAATCATTTGACTTTTAGAAACCATTGCTAATCACAGTATTAAAAAAATTCAGTCTGGTTTTCTTAAATCTGTCCTCAGGGACGATGACGAAGAAGATGGGGAGAAAGCAGCCCAGCGGAAGAACAACAAGTCAATGCTGTCCTACTTCAGTGCGTCAGCCGGAGGTAACACCCAGAACCCGACCCCGCAGACGCACCGCTTCTTCACCGAGCGGAGACTGAAGAACCTCGACACGCTCTGAAGACAGCACGCTAGAGGACATTTTCATTATAACTCAATGACTTGACACATCACTGGTAACGATGGACCTGAATGCAACATTACAGATGTGCGATGTTTGAATCTTCAGTGACGTAGAATGAAGATCTATCTTTACTTGCCCTGTTTTCACCAGTTTTTTTGTTTTTTTTAATACATAAAAAATGTTCTAAACCTCGTGATTTGCTTCCTAAGAGCCTTTGTTAGACGTCTCCTACATGTCTGTGAAGAAGAAAACCGGCTGTGTGTTGCTATCCTTAATGCCAATACTGCCCTCTGGTGGCCATACAGCAGAATACACCACAGTTTTTGAAAACCAGTTTATTTGAACTATTATGGGTCCCAAAATGAGCATGATGTGATTGTTGACAAACTACTCGGTAAAGGTTCCACACACACACACACACACACACACACACTGATACAGTGAAAAAATAATCTCCTGAATAGCATATCACATTGTTTATTCTGTACTAGTTGTACTAAGAGATGCCAAATGTCACCTTCATTACATACCTTCATACATCTGGATAAAATCACTGTAATCATGTATTAGTTTACACACAGTAATATCCTACAGCCTTCAAACTGGATAACTTTCTCACACACTCTTTTATACAAACATTTCAGTCGGCCCCCAAAATATGAACGAGGTTCAATGCACAGCTCTGCAAGGGGAAACACTTGCACATTTGAGCTAAAACGTCCACAGTATGTCCATACATCTTCTCATTCAGAGTCAAAACTACCCTCTATAGGTTTAAAGGAAAAGAAGACAAGGTTTGATGGTATTACTGCATATTGTGCCCCCTCCTTTAAATCCCAGAGTGCATCAGTATTAGCCCGACAGAGCCCAAGTGAGGCACGTCATAGATGGATGCTGAGATGGTTGTCGAAAACTCGTCGCAGCAGTGTTGTTGTCCTGCCTCCCGTCCTCTCAGAGTGTCTTCTTCTCCTGACTCTCTGCAGGTTTTTATCTCCGCTTTAAAAGTTGAACTCGCATCACATCCCCCCCCCCCCAAGGGCACACAAAGGCAGCGTGCTAAGCGAGGTGTCCAGTGCATTGTTAGAAAAATAAATATTCATCAACTTGCCTAGCTTAACAAAGACTTACTAAAAAAGATCAAATACATATATCCATCTGCCCACCGTCGCTAGCTCGTGTTGGGTTTGTGTCTAGACTCCTGGACCTTCTTCCCACAGTTCATAGCTAGAGTGGAGACGGCAAACGAGGACAGGATCACAATCGAGCTCCCCACAAAATGAGACGACGCGCCTCTGGGTGCTGCCCTCATGGCTCTTCTGGTGAGAGTTTCTCTGTCGAAGGCGGCGGCGTTGGTCACGGCTTCAGCCACAGGATTCATCGTTGTGGATGTTTCTTGGTCGTAGTGAAAAGATCCACACGCTGGTTTCTGTGACGGCGTGTCTGTCCTGGGTTCTGCTGCCGCTCTGCAGAAGGTGTCTAGTGTCGCTCTGTCTTAACCCTCAGGATGCAGGGCTTATTGTGTTGTGTGTCCCGTCTGAACCCTGTCCTGATCCTTTCCTTTACACCCGTTTATAACCTTCCCACGCTCCTCGTCTAATCCTTCTAAAGAGCCCCAGCTCCTACTGCGTCAATGGGATTAAAAATAGTTAGCCAGTGTTGGAAGAGGACTAAGGTCGTGATCTTCTTTAATTCTATTAGATCAACTCCTTTCATTGTGAATGAATGGAAATGTTTATGGTATAATAAATTATTATATGAGGCATAAACAGTAATGACAACTCAAGGCTAGAGGTAATTTTCATATAAATAATTTATAGTGTTTGTTTACGTCCTGAACAGGTGCTGCACATTTACCCCATCATGTCCATCAGAGGCGAGAAGAAAGCTCTGCACTCCTCTCAACACAATCGTAATGATATTTAGTATTTCTGGATGAAGACGTGAGTGTTGAAAGTTTCTATTAAAGAAAGGGACATTTCAGAGTTAGAGAAAGAAACAGGACTCAGACAGTGTTGAGGAAGATGAGGACCAAGGTGCTCGCCCGGTTAAGCAGATAACAACTTCCTGATATTTAGCAGCGAGTTTGATTTTCCATTGGTTAATGTCTGTAACTGAGTCCAGAGGTTTGCCAGAATAACAGAGCATGGCTACTATAACCCAAGACGACTCCCCTCTCGTATGATGTAAGAGCAGACAGACTAAAAAGATTAATCCAAGTCTGATCAGTGCGAGCCGAGTTCATCTGATTAGGAAACAATACAAAACAGTTACACAATAAAACTTCACCTGAAGGTTCTCCAATGTTTCTAATTTCTAATTAGATTTAAACCGCCATAAACACAATTTGTTCTTGGAAATATATACTTTTTCATCTGTTAAGATATTGAACCAGTTTCTTACATTATATGAATGTCATTTATTTATTCATCATTAAAAAGTAAAAGAATAAATCTTGACCTTCGCCTTAGACATTTTTCTCTTTCATATCCTTGACGTTTTAATTATCCGATCCAGTTTTTTAAAAGTCTTATAAAGTGCAAAAACAATATTAATATAAATAAACAATATGCAATATTTCCTCCGACATTTAAGGAGAGAAGGAGCTAAATACAGTTCGATGACATTCTTGATATTAACAAAGACTGGAGCTGAAACAATTAGCACACAGTCTAGTTTGTAAGGATTCATCATTTTAGCTTTTTATTAGACGAAAACTCCAAACTGTGATAGTTTGCTCCTCATCCCTGCTGTATAAAACTGTATATCAAGGTTGTCAGGATCAACAGAATTGTAAACTTTAACACAATACTAGTAAATAAATGAAAACAATATCCATGATACCACAGAATCAAAAGTTGAAGTCCTAGTCACCTTGAAGTGTATCATTAATGTAAATAATCTCCTGTTTTTAATTCACTAAATCATCCCTCCACCTCTTGGAAATTGTGATGGACCATGTTTATTAATTTACTTAAATTGGCAACCGTAAACAGAAAAATAATCTTCTTTAAAAATAACTGACAAATGGTGGGACGATGGACTGGTGGTTGTGTCGCACGGCCCATGTGCAGAGGCTGTGGTCCTTGTCGAAGCGGCCGTGGGTTCGAGTCCGACCTCGGCCCTCTGCTGCATGTCATCCCCCTCTCTCTCCTCCTAACTCTCTCTTCAGCTGTCCTATCTGACAAAGGCTAAAAAGGACAAAAAAATGACTTGTAAAAAAATAGCTGACATGTGGATTTAAATTAAAAGAAGTCATCATTAAAACACTTTGTCTTGACAGAAACTGAATGTTTGATTCATTATTATTTTAGCTGTGACCTTTATTGTGTTAGGTAAACATTTTTTTTTAAACAAAAACAAATATTTTAAAGCAATGCGTAGACATAAATATTTAGTTTTCCTCTATCCTTTAAAACAGCACCGTCTTCTTCCATTAGCTGTAACTTTCCACTGTTTTCAGCACCAGGGACAGCTCACCGTGACCGCGCTCACATGGGGTCAGCAGGTCTTTAATCCCTCAGGTTGAGACACGTAGTCCCAGTTTTTTTTTTGACGGCTTCCCTTTAATTGGATTGTGCTGGTTTCCACTCCTGACACAGAAAGCTGTCGTGAATGAGTGAGTAGTCCTGATGCCACCCCCTTGGGACGAGATGCTTCAACTATGAATGAAAGAAAAGAAGGATTAACAGTGAAATATATTCATAAAACACAACTATTTTCTTCTTCTAGTCCAACCTTGACTTTATAACTTGTGTGCACAAATCAGTTTATTGACTCTTTAGACTGAACAGTGTTTTTGATATTAGTGCATCATGTATCGTCGTTTATCAGAGGATTATTTCTTTAAAAAGTTCATTACAGCAGAGATTTGATTCTTCTGGATTAATCCAGAATTCCTAATTTTACGACCTGAAAAACTAACCCAAGAGACGTTATTGTCCATGAAAGTGATTTCCAACCATAGACTGTACCTGCATGTGCAGCCCAGGTATATTTAAAGGCATAATATACGACATTCTGACTATTAATAGTACTGAGATCAAATGTTCCCTATGTAAATATATTGCAGACTATAGACTTCCTATAAATAGTGAAGTCAGGATGCTGATAGCCTAGTGGTAGGTGCTCGCCCTATATATGGATGCTTTGGTCCTTCAAGCGGGTTCGAATCTGACCTGTGGCTCCTTTCCTGCATGTCATTCCCCACTCTATCTCTCTTGGTTTTTGTCTATATCCGCCGTCCTATCTCTACATAAACGCACAAAAAGACGAAACTTAAACTGTTTAAAAAACTAAATAATGAAGTCAAACTTCCTGTTGGTTTGTTGTTCCCGGCTCTGTGTTCAAACAGACATGGCGGTGCTTCCTTCAGCTTGTCATGTTATTTCAGAGGTTCCAACATGTTTCAGACATGTTTGTTTCAAGTTCAATGTTTTTTCCCTCTCCAACCGTTAGCCCTCGTACAACTATGTGGAAGAGTGATGTCCCCGCCCACTCAGGGAATCTGTGTTTAGAGTCATTATGACTGAGCGTCATCGCAGAAATACAACGTAACTGCTTTTTGCTTTTTTGTCCTTTGACAGTCACATCCCAATTACAGAAACCAGGACTGGTTTACCATTCGCTTTTCCTAAAAATGATGAAATACTAACAAAAACCACACATTACTGATAACATCTGGTTATGACATACTGTAATAAACATGTAGTGATGTATATAATGTAGCTCATTATGTCTGTTCAATAGTAAATCAATGGCAATCTGCAGCATCTTTGTAAATGTCATCATGTGCAGAAGTGACCTTTGAGGATTTCTTCATTAAACTGCAAAAATTTCCGCTTGGCATTTCATGCTGGCCTCATCAGTGAATCTTTACTGCAAAGTCCCCCGTGAACAAATTTAAAGATCATTCAGCAATTACCTCTGAAGTCATCAATTTCATAATTGTTGTTTACATGGCCTTCAGTTTGTGTTTTGAGTCACATTAGATCTCAAAGCCACAAAGGTCTACATGGAGCAGGACTCTGGTTTTAAGCTGCTTGCTCTCGTGCATCAGCGGTGTGAACTGGTCTCCTCAGACTTTGTTTTACCTAAAGCTCAGATTGAATTATCTTTGTCGAGCCCCCCTCACCTGCCCTGATCCTTCTTTAGACCTGCTCTACATATGTTTGCTCATTTGGCTTGGAATAGCAGATT